TAGGCAACATACACAAGAAAGGAAAACACCCCAGCTTGTGTTGTTACAAAACTAAACAGAAATGTGAGTGAAGATGCAGCTGGCTAGCCGAGAAGTAAAAAAAACATAGCTCTTTCTATCCCCGACCCTTTAGTGCAGTTCAGTTAGTTTTCTAGCCAAACCACCTTCTGGAAAAAAATAAAAGAAAACGGGAGTGCCACAAAGCTTCCTTTTACCCCCTGTGAAGAGCCTGGAGATCCCCAATCTTCCTCTTCTCCTCTTCCTGCAAAAGCAAATTTGGGTGTGTCAACCTCTATAGCCACTAGAGGAGGACCAGAGCAGGCAAGACAAGAAAATATGGGTCTCTTGGGGAGGTCTTGCAGTGGGGTTGCCTAATTGTGAGGCACTAGAGGAGCAACAACAGTCTTGGAGAGTTGTTGAGGTTTAACCCCAGCCAGCCACCAAGCCGCACGCAACCACTCACTCACTCCCCCACCAGCAGGATCACAGAGAGAATCAGAAGGGTAAAAGCTAGAAAGCTCACGTGTTGACATAAAGACAGTTTAATAGGGAAAGCAAAAGCCGTGCACACAAAGAAAAACGAAACAAGGAATTAATTCACTGCTTCTCATGGGCAGGCAGGTGTTCAGCCATCTCCAAGAGAGCAGAGTCCCATCGCACATAATGGTTACTTGGGAAGAAAATGAGTGGACTGATAAATGAGCTAAAAGTAAAGGAACTTTAACCCAGATTTTGTGAATTTTCTGCATCTGCCACTAAATAGCATGTCCAAAATGTGTAATTCCACATTACAATTCAACTGACCAATCTACATTCTTCATTTGTTCATAAGCAATGTCATTGTTTCTTCCTTCTCAAGGTGTCCTTAAGCAGTTAAGCAAAACGAAGAACATTTTGCAACCTCTCGTGCATAAATACCTTTTTGTGTTAAATTATACTGCCATCATTTATTAAATAAAGAATGTCATTAAATAATACAATGAAGAATATTAGCAATGTTGTATCTGTCACAGAAGAAAAAACTACATAAATGGATGGATATCATCTGTTCTTTGGTTTATGAACTCAGAGTTCCCTAGACAGTGTCACTGATGACACCAGATTCCCAAATGCTGGATCTTGTATGTGATATATTTGAAAGATGTGCAAAAACAGATGTAACCAGACAGCTCCTTTTGGTTACGTACATGAGGAAGCTTCACAGAGCAAGTGATTTTAGCTAAGGCTGCCAATAATTTATTCTGAATAAATTGCCTCTATATCTGTTTCAGGCAGGAATGACATAGGAAGAATGTGAACTTTTTTGTTATATCAACTCACTTTGAGCCAAATTATGCTTCTTTTTGAGTATTCGCCATTGCAAACATAGAAGACATGTGGATCTAGATATTAGCACCTTCTAAAAGTTGGCTCAATAAAAGCTGTTTAGCACTTAAACATGGAAGCTGTTGTCAGCTTCACAGATGAGTAACTCATTCCAAATTTTGGAAATGGAAATTCTGATCTGATGTATATTTCAGGCTTATTAAGCAACTATGTTTTCTAGGCCACAATTCAGTTAAAATTAACTCTAGCTCCCACACTGTGACAATCCATACATGATTATGGAAGTCATAAAAAATGAACTTGATGTGGGTTCTTCTACTGTAAGTGGAGGAAAATGTCCCCTGCAGCTGAGATTCTTGATTCCAGGGACAAAGAGAATACCTAATCACACTGCCTTAGCTTGGAAATATGATTAAAAAGAAGAATGTGTTAAGACTTTATCCTAAGAAACACCTTTCTTTTTTTCCTGTAATTCCATCAAACACTGGAAGAGAGACCAATAAAAAGACATCATTGTATGTTTATTGATTCTACATTTTCCATTGTCCTCTAGACTTTAAAAGGGAAGTTGTAAGAAGGGAAAAAATAAACACCCCAGTGGACAAAGATTAAATCAGATTTGAGATGCTTATTCTTGCAATATTAAACTCAAGAGTCTTTTCAATATATCTTCTTTTCAATTTTTTTCTTGTCTCTTGAAAATAAGGTCTGCTGAAGATCTCCTGGTTGTTTTGAAAATGTGATAATTACTTGCACCATTCCACCCTCCATGTCTTCTACTGGTCCAAAACTCATTTTATTTTGTATTTTCATGTGGTTTCATTACTACTGATGCAAGGTCTTTTTCCTAGTCACACCAACTGGAACAGCTTTGGTCAGTTTCTCTGATTTCAAACCTACCACTCTGAAATCCCATCTGCAGAAACGCCTCTCCTTTTAATTGTTCTTAACTTACCTCTAACCCTCTTTCTTGTTTTTAACTTACACCTAATACAATCCTAATGAAGTCAATGAGAAGTCTTTCATTTCATTGAGCTTGACCAGGTAAACTTGCACCAAAATGTTTAGAGAAGATTATTCAAGTCTTCCAGACCATGATCTCAATGAGTGAAAGTCAATAACTTCAAGCTGAGGTGTCAGCCAAGAGATTTCTTGTCCTCAGCCAGTCACAGTCTCAGGGTCCCAGTCATCATCTCTGTTAGACAGGATACTTGTTTGTCACAGTTATAAAAAGATGAGGTGAGGACATTTATTTTAGAACATACCTGAGCAGCTGTCTGAAAACCTAGGGTGCTTTAGTGTTATTAAAAACGTTTTTCATGCTATCAATAATTTATTGACAGTTGGCTGCCAGTCCCACACTTGTTCTGCTAATTTACTCCAGATCCTTGCACGTTTTGGTGGACCAGGGCCAGGATAGAAAACAGAAAAAGAACAAAACAAACCCATCCCTCTTGAACCCTTTGCCCTTTCCACTTTGAACATGATCATTCTCCTCTCTTTGCTGGGAACTGATCCTCACAGTGTGACTAAGAAAATGATTCAGTCCTGAAAGCCGCCATGTGATTTAGCAAAACAAAGAGCTGACCTCCCCAGCATCGGCAGCAGCACCAGCCGCTCTTGAAATATCTAAAAGGCAAATGCATTAGTATGTTCAGTCACCATGCTGGCTAATGACTAGACATTTTTGAACATATGGGATCATTATTCCAGTATTTCATCAGTGAACTTTCCAGAAAAACTAATTAAGGGGCCCTTTCAATGCTTACCACAAAGTTGGGCTTTATCACAACTCCTCACTTGCATTTGAAGGATTAGGAGTTTTCATTTCCCCTGCTCTCACCACCTTTCCATTTCCGGTGATCACTAAAGATGACTGAAGCTAATTAAAGAGATCTTTAATTTTTTAATCATAACATACCTTTACTTTTATTTCCCATGCAGAAAGATTTCATTTCCCACTGATACAAAAAGGATTTAGAATGCACTCTGGCCAATGCTTACTGATGGTTTGTCTTCTGAGCTACCTTCCTTCATATACATCTCTCCCATAACTGCTTCTGTTCTTTAATGGTTATTGCAAATGACAACAGAATGTAAGTTATAGATTGTGGGAAAGAAAGGTCATTTTCCTCATCAATAGCTCCTAACAAGGGGTAAATTCTCTGGGCAACTCTTCCTGCTGATCAGAATAATTTGCTAGGAAATGTGTAGATGACCAAAACCTCCTGCAAGACTGAATGTAGAAACAATGGAAGCAAGATTTTTCACCTCCTCAGGGGGCAATTTTCCTTTTGGGGATGTATCCTCTCAAGCTAAAACCAACAACCTGCAAACCTGAGGCAGGTGAAAAGACTATTATCTACTTTGTGAATCCACATCTGGGCCATCTTTGAGGAGAAAAATCTCTCAGGACTTCAGACTATGAATGTAGCACTTGCCAGTGTTGAGACATCTAAGTCCACAGAAAATGCTAATAATGGAAGTGAGCTATTTAAATAAGTAAACCCATCAGTGATAACTTGTGTCTTCATCTTTAGGTATATCATTGCCAGTAGCTTCAGCAGGAGCACATGTGGTTACTGAGCTTGTTGGATATACTGGAAGACACTGTGATAGGCTACACGGCGGATGGTAAAAGTGCCTTCATCCAGATGGTCTCAGGGGAAAGGGCTGTCAGGATGACTTATAGAAAAAGACATTTTTCCATCTTTCATGAAATTATTAAAATCCTCCTTTGGAAGTTTCAAACAAAAGCAACACCATTTTGACGAGGCTGCTCATATTCCAAAAATGTCTCTGACGCTGATGGTCAGGGTGAGGTGCAGTTAGCCCCATGTCCTATGAAATAAGCCATGCTGTGGTACAGCACTGGTTGGGTTGCACACATTGGGAGAGCAGCATCAGCAGAGCAACAAGCAGCTCCAAGGGTGCTACGATGTAACCTCAAAACACGACTGGCATCACCTCTGGAACTGAGCTAATGAGTGAGCAATGCTTGGCAGAGGACCTTCTCCAGCAACAGAAAATGAGATAACAACAGGAACACTGTCTCTGAGAGCACCAAGAAGTATATATAATGCTTGCACTCATCCTTCAGCTATTAGCAGAGAAAGAGTTTAACTATCTTGCAGCTGGGTTTTTCCCATTGCAATTTTAAGTGGTAATAACTTTTAATAGGTATCTTGGAATAATAATCATTAAAATATGTAAATCTGAATGTTTGAACAAAAAATCAGATAGGCATTTATCTAACAAAATATCTCTAATTTTTTTATATAAAAGTAATAATTTGAGAAACCCTGATCCTCCAAACTAATATATACTTGGAGTCAGAAAAAAATCACTTGCTTCTGTAGTAATGCAATTTATATGTGGAGACCCATGCAGACACTGAAGCATTTACAGGGCTGGGAACTAAGTCACAGCTAAAAAGAAATTCAAAAGAATCTGAAACGATGGCACACTTGCACCAGCAGAGTCCGTACGTATTGCATCCTGTGGAATAAACATTCCTGTGTTGAGCTGCATTGCAGAAAGCTGTGCTGGGCAGATGGCAATTGGACTGGAACATAATTCCCCCCGCTGTCACCCACACACACTGCCTGGTAAAACAACAATGCCAGTGTCCTGCCTACTTCCACTTCAGATGAATGTGATCGCCCAGCAGAAATGCCAGCAACTTTATCCCTCAAAAGATCCATCTGCAGATCAGAAAACGTTTTGACAGGAAGTCAAAACAGGTTTAGTTCCAGTCAGAAAGTAAACACTGGAAACAAAATCCCTTCTTCCTTGTGTTGCTGCTTTGTCTGATTTATTTCTCTCCTGCTCTCAGTCCTGTCTGCTTTGGTTTGATCTGTCTCCTCCTCCCAGGACAGGAAGAATCCAGGAGGTCTTCTCCTCTGGAGCAGGTAAGGTTGCTCTGATGTTCAGGCTTGTCCAGTGCCCTTCACAGTACCACAACGTCAGTCACTTCTGCATGTATGTCACTAAAGATGTATGGAAGGTCAAAATGTTTTGCAGCTTATAACTGTAAAAGTATTACCTATTTATGACAGTTCATCTAACAAATAAATAAGCCAGAGCAACACTATGCAATACCAATATAGATAGCATGACCAAAAAAAAAAAAAAAAAAAAAGAAAGAAAAGAAAAAGAAAAATACAAATTTATCAAATCTATATCTGAATATAGATAGGCAGTATAAACTCACAGATTGAGCAGCCATAAAAGACATAATCAAGGGAAATTATTTTCCTTGTGCATGGTCGCACATTTTTCTGACCTGTCAAATACCAAATTCCTGCTTTTTTCTGATAAGTAGAGAGTGTGCATCCTGATAGGAAGCAGTGTTAAAATCTCTATTACTTTGCAATGATCTGTGTATAATATGACTTTGACTCCCAGACCAGAAGATTTTCTCCCATGTGGAAATGGGAACATGGTCATTCACAACTACCCAGCCCAATTTCAACATGCCAGTATGCTATGGTATGGGTAGCTTGGAATTTTCATGGTTTTCAGAGCAGACTTCATACAAGCTAATAAAATGCAAAGTATCTTCAACTTCCCAGACCAATAACAAGGTTCTAAAATGCAAATAAACAGAAATTTGAACAGAAAATAATGAATACTGGCAAATAACCTGATAGCTCAGCTCACAGGTCAGGCTGATCCCCGTGTGCCATCCTAGTTTCTGCCTTCATGGACCTAACCCTACATACCATCCATTCAAAGGCAAACTCCAGACTGTAAGGAGCATAGTTGCCTCAGCCTGAATCCTCAATATACCTGCCTGCCTGTATGTCTTAAAAACCAGAAGCACTAACCCACTACCTACATTGCCTTTGGTGAAAGGACTACTAAAACATTCACAGTAGGACTGAAAACAATGAAAGCCCTGTTACTTTAAGCTGTGTGTGTTTGGCAAAAATATCATCCAGTTATGAGAACTAGTAAGTTGAGCAGATGAGCATTCTCAAATGCCCTCCTTCCCATTTGGGATTGCATTTGAGAAAGAAATAGAGAAGGTGGAAGAAAGTTCGAGGTCTTCTACCTTTTGGGAGATAGGGGTTTGTAACCAGGATACCATTTCTTAAAATATATCTGTTTAACTGAAAGAACATGAATAGATGAACTTGCAGAAAAAAAAACTAGTTCGACTCGTGTCCTACTTATTTGAAGGATATTAAGGACATTGTCCTTTGTCTCTAGTAACCAGATATAATCAATAATTTCTTTTACTTAGAAATTTTTACATTGTTGCAGGACAGAAAAGAGATAGACGCCCTCACTAGGATTTATATGCTGCTCGAAGTCTTAGATATCTGAGACATCAACACAGACCTGACAGATATGATACACGGCCTGTGAGATATTGCAAAATGAGGATGACATAGATGGTTAAATCCTGGTTGTATTAATTTCAGTGCCAACTCTCACTGACTGCTGGTCAGAATTTCACTGAAAGAGCTTGAACAAAATGAACAAAATGAACAAAATGAGAAATGAACAAAATAAGCGTGGTTAAGGAGCTTGACTGGTAGTAATTTCTGACATTTTTTTTCCCTTTAAAATGAAAGATATTTCAGCTAACTTTTCCTGAGTCCTTAAGTCAGGATTCCAAGCACTTACAGACAGAAATCACAGAGGATCAAATATTACCTTCACCATCCACAGATCCCCTGGAAACTTTGCAGTGGAGAGAAGGGCACATGAAGGGTCTTGGATGTCCAGCACCTCCCAAGAACTACCAAATTACTCTGTGTATGCATATATGTAAATTCACATACTGATTTAAATAATACACAGTCCAGCAAGTATTTTGAGGAGGATGTTTTGTCACGCAGGGATTCCAATGTGCTATTAAGTCTGCAGCATAAGAAAAAATGGATAATCGGTGAGAAAAACTTAAAATCAAATACCTTTCTCTATCTAAGAACCTCTATGGATAAATAAAGCTCCATCTTTAGATAAGGAAGTATGAGAGGCAGGAAACTGCGTTAGAAGCAGATACTGTATGAAGGCCTTCATCAGCTGGCAGGCACAGAGATACTCCACTCTGTGTGTCACCTGGTGAGGGCTTTTCTTCAGTTTTCCTTCAGATTTCTAAGGAGTTCATTCGAAGGGAAAAATAAGGAACAATGATGCTCAGAATTGCAGAATCACAGAATATGTTGAGTTGGAAGGATCCACAAGGATCATGGAGTTCAACTCTTAGCCCTGCACAGGACCCTCCCCAAGAGTCACACCATGTGCCTGAGAGTATCATCCAAACACTTCTTGAACTCTGTCAGGCTTGGTGCTGTAACCACTGCCCTGGGGAGCCTGTTCAGTGCCCAACCACCCCCTGGTTGAAGAACCCAAGTAAGTACACAAAGAACACAAATGTTTTTTCAAAAGCACAGATGAAGTACCTAAGGCAAGCATCTAGAAAGGATTGTGCAGCTTAGATGGAGCACAGTACCCCAACTGAGTTCTTCCACATGGATTTCAGTGTCTCTCATTCTTCTGCCATTCTCCTTCTAGTCTATACACCCAGTTTCCAATGAGGCTCTTTCTTTCCCATTTTGTTTGATTGTAACCAACATAAAATCAGTGAGGGGTGAAACTTATTGTTAATGATATGGAGGCCAAATTATTATTCAACTTTTAAATATGAACCATGCTTGGATCCAAATCTCATTTAATCTTCATGAATATCAATTATATTTTGTCATTTCTAGACCTGTGAAAATTTCATTTCTCCAAATGAGCTCAGTAACTAACCCTCAGCCACTTTAAAAAAAAAAACTTCTATTCTCAGATTTTTTCAATATAGATTATGAAAACATTAGTTCAGTGGAATTTATATGGCCTATTTGACATTCTTTTCTCTTTAGCTGGATTTGAGATGATATTCAAAGTTGAAGCTCTGTCCAAATGCTAAAATATTTGTTCTCTGAATAAACCACCATATGTGCGAAAAGATCATGGGTACATCTTTTATACAGAGACTGTTAGTTTACAATCTATCAGTCTTGTGTTATACTATTATTATTTTTTTCACAGTACACACTTCATTGCTGTGGATGACACTGCAATGTTTCAACAGAAATGGACCCTTAGGAAAAGAATGCAAACATTTCTAAATCTGGTGCATTCACCACCAAACACTTGGGAATGGGAACAGTGGAGAACTGTGAGCAGATCAAAGTCTTTTGGGAGGGAGCTTACCTCTTGGATGAGGTGCTCCATATCATATATCATATATGCTCCATATCTTGCTCTTTATCAACCAGGCTCCATTTTCAAGGTGTATGAAGGAAAAGGATGCTTTAGGTGCCTGTATTCCTGCTTAAAGACTGGCACAAAGCCTGGCAATGGTGGTAGACAGAAGACCTGCAGCATAGGGATTGCACTCTACCATGGTGCAACCTCTGGTCCCAACTCAAGCAACAAAAAACCCAGGGCAGGTCTAAGTTTGCACCAGTCCACCCTGCCTTGCACTGAGCACTAAAAGAAATAGCCATCAAATGCCACACAATAGCACCAGCCTCTGCAATCTCAGTCCTTGCTGGTTCCTGGCCCTGGGTTTGCCTCCTTATGTTTGACTGGGATCTACTTCCCAGTGCAGCTGTACAGCTGAATTCCCAGCCTTGAGTCCTGACACACACAGCCTGTTTTTAGGACTTTGCAGTGGCCCCAGCTGGTGCAGAGGGGCGATGACTGGTTTTTTCCATCCATGGTCTGGATGAGCAGTTCTGAGAGAATAGCCTGTGCAGCAGCTGTGCAGCCTGGGCCGTCTCTTGGGATGGATTTTAATTTCCCCAGTCAGTCTTCATTCCACCCTCTTGGGTTTTATGTGGGTGGAGTTTTATTTAAGCTTACATATCTAAATCTGTTGCCTGAGAAATAGGTGCAATCTAAGTCCCTTCCTGCATTACATGTTAAAATTGTTGACCACAAACACAATAGGTTTCATGGTGTTAAGGGCCACCTGTTGAAAGTGTTCAAAGGCACCCCCACCCATTTACATTCCCCACCGCCTGTTTTCCTGTCTGTGACTCAACCATCTCTCTCCGAGGCACTCGCCCAGTGTGTTGGGCTGCAATCATTGCAGCGCTGAACCAATTCAACATCTTGAAAAGCTAATTAACTTCATAAAAAATTCATATAGGCATGCAAATACTGTGGCCCAGATAAATAATTAACTGAACTCTTCCACATCAGAGCCAGCATGCTCCAAGGCTGCCCTCTCTTGCCAGGCCTGCTCAACAATTATTCAAGACATGCATTTGATGATTTTCTTCAAGGTGTAAACCTACATGGCAGCTTAATAAACAACATACATTGCACAGTCAACATTGATTTACACATCTTCTGAAGAGATGATGCATGAAATGATCAGAAAAGTCAATAATGCAAGCAAAATGTATGGGCTTGAGATAAGTAACAGAAAACAAAATCAATGCCTTCCAGCTATTATCATCACGAAGTAGAGTTCATAATAGATAACATTAAGTTTGAACAAGTTGCATCATTCCAGTACCTGCAATCAGTTGTCACTTCTGACAATAATTGCCAGAATGGTATTCATATGCGTATATGCTAACTCTACCTCTGGTGCTAAATGCATTTAGCTGAACAATCAGGATAAACAATCTGACGAGCCAGATATTTTATTATTCTGACATTAAAAAAAAGGAGACTGCAGAACCCATTAATCATGACCTGTATTGCCACATACCTACAAATATTGCACTGAAGAAAACCAAAAAGCTTGCTACAGACCTTCTGGAATAAGTACCAGAGGAAGATGAGATGGTGGATGCGATCATCCTATCACTAGCTCTGAGGGATAAAATTCAGCAGAAGGAGGCGGCTGACATTATTGGAGCACCCGAGCAGCAATGACTCAATCACACACCACAAGCAATGATACACCTCAGCTTTGTGTCCAGGGTTTTACATGGGACTTATCATATGGCTTTACATCAAGGATTTCTGATAGCCTCAGGATGCAATCAATATGAAAGTAACATAAGAGAAAACTCTGACCACCGAGGGCTTGTCAGCACTGGAAGCTATTGTGAAACATGGGAAGGTGTGAATGCAGAGTACAACGGCCCCAGCCGTTTTGGAGGCTGGTAGTCCATCATGCAGTAAAATAAATGCACACAAGGCTGTCTGAGGGTGGAAGATGTATCTATATGAAGAAATCTATATATCTATATCCCAATAGCCCTCAAATCTCCCTTTGAAAACATCTCTCATAGTATTTCAGTAGCAGTGCGTGTAACCTATGCCACTAAGTAAAACCCAGAGGAGTTACTGTTAGAGGCTGCCTAACATGGCTTGAGCTATTTGTGGAAGCAATCACCCTGTCTGCTGCACTGAGGGGTAGTAATGACAAACAGAGTAGCTTCACTCCAGCCAGGAGTGTGAATTTGGCTTCAAGTATTCATGATCCAGCTTTGACCAATTGAGAATCATTCAATGGCAATAAAAAATGCATCGGCAATCTCAATCCAGCTCCTAGTAGAGCTTTAAAATGCTCACAAAACCACAACAAACAGTGATTGTGCCCTTTTGTGAGCAGTAAAGACACAAAGAGGGAGATAGGTTCCTCCTCCTTCATTCCAGGCAGAAGCAAAGGTAGAGTCTCACCAGGAGGTGGTGATGTGGGGAGTCTATATCAGTCTATATCATAACTATATTTCTTTCCCTAACAATGGTGGGGGGGAGAAAGGAGAATAAGGATAATGAGGTGAAGGGAGCTTGGGGTAAACTGTGCCCTGAGTTACAGTGTCACAGCTGAATGCTTATTCCAACAAATTAATTTTATAATGCTTTTGATTTGACCCACAGATGAAAAGATGGTTTCAGCTGAGTTCTGCTTTAAGGGACTCATTCATCTCCCGAAACTAAAAGCCAAGCTCATAAAGCACAAACCCACACAAGCTAAAACCAATCAGTAGCTTCCCCGAATCCCTGCAAAGCCAAACCATTCAATGCCACGCTGCTCTGTCAATAATAGTAACAAGTAACACTACACTCAGGCTGTAATTTTTCATATCCAGTGTGCTGTTGTCATATGATTTACTGTGCTAGCACTGAGAGCCATTGCCCAAGCCCTGTCTCTGCACTCCTCCTGATTTACTTAAATCTTTTTACTTTTATCAGCCACAGGGAATGGGGACACTTACATGTAACAACTGACAATTTGAACAGAAAATACAGAGAAAAGCTGTGTAAAGCAAGTGGCTGAGATTATAGCTGTTGACTTCTAATATTATTTGACAGATGAGACTGCTGCAATTATCCTCTGCTCATGGGTTCCATTACTGGAACAAGAAGCGCACAAAATAAGGGCAATTTTCCAAACAATATATGGGTCCACTTAACTTTGTCAAGAGCCATTTCTGCAAGTGAAGTCCTCCCTGGTTAAAGATACAAGAATAATGTGCTGGCAACTTCACATGAACATTTAGTGAATTCCACATTAACTGCATTTTCAGTTGTTCTTTTCCTGCTCTGTTTGAACCAAATAGGATATTATTTCTAAAGATATTTGTTTAAAGAACGAGATTGTGCTTACTGCTATTCCCCTCTCAGGAGCCCTTTTTTTTAAAAAAAGAAAAAAAAAAAAAAAAGAAGGCATTTCAGAAAGTTTGCAGCTCACAAGATCACTTTGGATTTTTGCAGAGTCCTGCATCCTCCTTCTGCATCCTGTCTCTGTGCCCCCACCATCTCCCAGTATCAGGAAGGAAGGCATCAACCCTCACAAAGCTGTCTCCTTCTCCCTCCCTTCCTCTTTGAATGCTCTGGTCCTGTGAGTATCTCTGAATCCCACTCACCACCCTGCAGCTCCCACCCTCCCCCTGTCCTTCCCCAGCCCACTGCCACCTTTCTTCTTGCCTCCACTGGGCCCCAGTCCCAGCTGGCACAGCTGGTGATGGGGAATGCTGGCGGGGGGAAGCAATGAACATGGCCAAGAGGTTCCTCAACAGCAAAAGACTGTCATTCTGGGGAAGAGGAAGCTCTTGAACAAACCCCTCTGCTTGCCCAAAAGTGAGCAAATAATACCCCACACAGACATGATGGTGTATAAGCAGACCTAAGAGGAAGGGTGGAGGTTCAAGGTTTCCCTTGAGTAATACACAGCAAGGGTAATCATCCTCTGAAGTCTTCTTATGCCAAATCCAACCACTGTTATCTAATCACAGGAGTGTGAAAGAAGGAACATTAGTCCTGCTTTAAGTTCCAACCTCAACACAACCTTAGCAACAGAGTCACTAGTGACGTATCCATAATATATTTTTAAGGTTGCCCCATTGCTTTGAATTGAGGAGCTATTTATAGATCAAAAGGAGCTTTTTCTAGGAGGAAAAAAAAGGAATGAATTTTCTGAAAGCAAAGGTAGAAAAATAATGAGAATGAAGAAAGAGGGAATAACCTGTGGCCTAGGCAGTAGTTATTAATTCTTCCCTCCGATACAATCTGTGCTGAACCATAGTGGGAGTGAATATTTTTCAGCAGCCTTCCCCAGCTTCTCACACATACTTCAATATCTTCTCTCAGATGTGCCTATGACCTAGTGCTGCAGACCCCAGTGGGAGAAACCCCACCAGGAATCACTGCAAAACCACTTCAGGCTAGGCTCAGGTTCCTGATCCAGCTCTACTGGATCAGTGATTCCCTTCCTTGGAGGCTGAAGGTGTTCATCAATTTGGGGGAGGTATTTTTTTGTTCCAGTCAATGATGTCATTCAGAAAGCTGTCATCCAGGAAACAGGACTGGCTCTTCCAGAAGTATTACTCAACACTTGGTTTCCACGCTACCTTGTGGCAATGAGTTTCATGGCTCAGTCAAAAGCAGAGTCAGAGATAACGTGAGGAAAACCAGACTTTGACCACAGACACTAGCACACAGAAGAGATATGGTAAGGGGGAAAATGCCATCACCTTCTGAGCCCACCCTGGAGGAAGGCTCTGTGACCCATCCCCCTTCCCCTAAACATATCCCCTGACCTAAACTAAGACACTGCACCTGAAAGCATCCTTCAGGTTGTACATGTACAAGTTGCCCACAGATGTCTGGGAATAAGGATAGAGTAACTTTTTACACATTTTGGTGAAGCAAATCAGATTTATGTCAATTCTAGAGAAGAGAAAATTAATCTCAGAAGTCAATGGGAAAGAGAAGACAAGCTGAGAGCATTCAAATGTCCAACTCACAGACTTGAATATCCTCCAGATTATACCATTCTTATTGTTAGAATTACTACCTCATGGTATCCAGAATGCAAGGAGAAAAATATGTGCTATTTATGAGAATGTTACCTTTTGCTTTCCTCCTTCATCACACCACTAGGTTTTTCCAACAGGAGAGCTGGCTCTTTCCTGGAAAGTGACCTTTGCTGGAGGGCAGGCAGATGGCTGCAGCCACAAACAAGCCCAGTTCTCCTCCTTGACCATGTGTCACTCAAAACCCTTGAAGATCTCTGTGCTGGAGACCCCAGGTCTCCTCCTGAATCTGGGTCACTGGCAGCACAAAGCCCTGCTGAAGGCACCCAAGCGTGACGCAGACCAGCCAAAGACCATTCCTCATCCCAGGGACACAGCAATGGCACTGTGCAATTGCAACAATTTGGGCTTCAGGGATTTTTTTTTTTTTTGTTATTATTTCTTGTTCAGCCCTTGCAATCTTGGTCTCTTTAGCACAGGTCTCCTCACAAAGGCAATCCTTGTACCAGAAAGCCTCAGATTTGCCCTCAGCTCTTCCATAGGCGTTGATTAGGAGCCTTTTTGCTTTTTTCCTTCAAAAAAAAAATCAAAAAAGGGACATGATTTAAAACTAAAATAGAATGAAGTGCATTGTACAAAGGATTATTTCAAGTAATTCTTCTTGAAACTGTAACAAAGGAATGTTTCCTGGGGATTAAATGGACTGTCAGGTAATCAGAAAAGTTGTTTTAGGTTTTCCTCAGGAAGAAAAGAAGCATTTTGGATGGATTTTGTTTCTGATGCTTTGTGACACTTTACAGCTTATTCCCTCATGTCACACCAGTTTATTTCATTATTCATAAACATGCTGAATGCCAAAATGATCTCAGAAACTATGGGGCTCTTACACACTCAACCACTAAGCCCTTTTCTCTCTGTCCCCTTGCAAATGCAAGGACCCAGCCTTCTTGATGTCCTTCCACATGGATTTTCTTTTAACCACTGCTCATCCTGCTATATTTCTTGTAATGGGGGTGGGATTTCTGGTATTTCGCACACTATGCAGGACTCTGGGATGACCCTGAAGGAGAAATCTCATTCAAGAGAGAATGCATTTGTCCCCAGCTTTGAAGTGCAGAGAGCCAGCACCCAGGGAACCTTGCATACAGGCTGGGTGCAGTCCTTACTCCTCTGTGAAGCACTTGGGGTAATAGCACTAAAGCCCACTCCCATCACCAGTCCCAGAACACCTCCCAGGCCTGGTCTGGGTTCTCTCATCACACCTGTACATTGCTTGGCACTGCAGGGGACAGGCTGCCCCTTCTCAGGGCCAAAGCACAAACATCCATTTCCAGCAGTGAGTCTCTCCCCCCTCAACAGCTGCACACTCCCATCCAACCTGCAACCTAATGCACAGGGATGCCTTAAAATGGCACAGGTCTTTCCTCCAGGTCCAGCACCAAAAGTCCCTACAAGTAGCTACTTCTCAGCTGTTCCAGCCCACATTCACACCTGTGAGCTCAGCCCTCTTCTCTCACCCTTCCCAAAGCCTTCAAGGGAGCAGCTAAGACAACTTGGAGCACAGACATCCCCCACACCACATACAGCTCCACAGCTATTATATGCCAAGTGGAAGGAGTCTCCCTCCCTCTGCTTGGCCAGGAGCATCCATCAGTGAAGGCAAGCAGTTGCCACAAAGCAAGGCAGCCTGGACCAAGAGGAGGAGGTGTCAGAGATGATCACTGCCTCTGTGGAGAGGGATCCCCACCAGCTGGGGCACCTGGCTCCAGTATCTAGGTTGGCCCACAGCACATCCTTTTGGACTACTTGATGTTACTGGGTGCCCAAGCAGAAAAAGACACCCACATCCATCTGTGCCTAAGCAGTCAGCTTCTGCTGTAGCAGTCAGTCTTTGCTCTCGAAAACAGTGTGGGAAATGGGGATTTAAAACCCACTACAACTGTGTCTGCAATGAGGGCAGGGATGGTGGGTAGTCCCACACTGGCTTTTCACCTGGCAGCATTGCCATGTGTGACATAGCACACACAGCCTTGTCTAGTGGCGGCAGCCCAAGAGTCAACCACTGGTCCCTACTCCATGAAGAGGCTCCACTTCCAATAGGTTCCCAAGGAATGGCTCCCTCATCACATGCTTTGCTGAGCCTGCTCCAATCTGGAACAATTGCTTCTTCATGTCTGACTTAATTTTATCTCTAAGTAAGAGAAAGGAAGATTTGAAACTGCTATTAGCCCTGGAATTTTTTTTTTTTTTTTTAATTTAAGAACAGGGTTTTCTTTTCCATGAGCTTCTTCTTTCTAAAAGAATTTTTATTCCAATTATTCAGACACCTGCTGGTGTCCCAGCAGCCCCCGGCAGCAGGGAACCCTCTCGGGCTGAGCAGCCGAAAGAAACAAAGCCCAGAACAATGTTGTACAGGGAAACAGTACACACACCAGCAAGCCGGAGAGCACAGCAGCAAATGTGTTATTAGTCTGACATCACAAGGGTCTGCTTGTTTGTTTGCTTTACGCTTTTAAATCCCAACGCTCTCTCTCGCCATGCCACATGTTGAATTTTTCTTGATTAAGTTGAGACTTTTATTATGCAGTGTCCCCAGAAGAATTACAGAGGGGAAGGAGAAAGCCCAACTGCATATGGCAAAAGCAGTGAGAAAGATACTGAATTCTTCCAGTTTGAAAAGACAGGCAGTACAAATAAAGTTCTTTTGTACTTGCTTTAAGACGTAGCATGTACCAGCCCATCTCAGCAAATGTACCTCGGGAAAAGCCAAAAGCAGGATCAGAGATGCACAACGAGGGAAATTTTAAAGCTGCCAGTGCAAGTTTCTCCAGATGCAATATGTTCGTACAATACTGAGCGCCAGGAAATGTCAATTCTGACTGTCTAGTAGTAATAATAATAATAATTTCTTCATTGTTAATTATTGGTGTTATTATTACAGGCCTCTCCAAGTCTGTAACTGTAAATACAATACTGGCCACCAAAACCATCCGACTCCCCTCAACTCAGTGTGCAATGAATGGGATTGACCCTCCTGGCCAGATCATTTGGGCTACATCTTTCAGCCTCATTTCCCTCCTTCCAGGGAGTGCTGTGTTTTACAAGAGATAGACCAGCATCAAAGCCACTACGGCAGGATTTCCTCACTTGGAAATAGGCTTGAAGCAGACCTGTAAACTCTGTTGAAGTTTGCTTTCTAGTGCCAGAGCAGCACAAAACAGCTCTAGCATCTGGCCTCAGGGGCTCAATCAGTTCTGTATGAATACTCATATGATGCAGTTATCACCAGCAAAGCTCATAGCTAAGCGCCTTGCTACCAAGTCTCATGGCTTTGATTTAAGGAGCTCCCAGTAATCTGGGACACTACAATTAACATATTTAATAGAGCGACTAATGGGAAAGAAAAAGGGGGAAAACCACAAACTGCAGATTATAGTGATGGTAGGGTGAGAAAGGAACAAAATCCAGAAGTTTCAAACTTTAAAAAAGGGCACACAGAAACTGATTAGTTTCTCCCTTTTATTCTGCACAATGTAAGGGAAAAAAAAAAAAAAGAATCACAGGATTTAATTAATAGTCAGTAATCTCAGACAGATTAATTTATCTTTTCAAAGCTAATATGTGAGATTTAAACATTTACTTTAGGACACTTTGACAAGCCTGCTCATCAAAAGGCAGATGATCTGTGCTTTCTAGACACCAAATCCTTCCAAAATGTCTCACACAGTGGCACACAAATGATACAGACTTATTTTAAATACACACCTCTGTTCCCTCCCTGCAGGAGATTACAAACCATGCAGCTGGGTTATTAAAAGAGTTAGACAGCAACTAAGGGTTCAATAAAGGCATCTGCAGTTGTTCCAGGTAAGAAAATGGCAGTGAAATTAATCTAGTTTATAAACAGGATATAAAGAAAAGCAGAAACCCCTAGTTAAGAACAGACAGTGTTATTGTAATTATGATGAATAAAACAAAGCTCTTCTGGTCAGCTGGGGACTTACAGCATTGATCTAGCTTGGAAACCGAGATCAGCTTCACCTGGCTTGGAGAAGAAGCAAACAGTTCATCTGATCAATGGCCAGGTAATAATAATGTATTACATACCATAATGCTGAGTTAGTTATATACTGCTGTAACAACTGCCAGACCAAAACTCTAGCGAGATAGCTGTATGACTAAATACATATTTATCTTTTACAGTGCCTTTTACATGGTTGTTTAATTATCTCCAAACCAAGTATTCTAAAGCCAAGAAATAGTTTCAAATTATATTCAAATGGGTATCTAAACAACCTTAGTTCTGCCTCGGGTTTACTGTATGCAGTATACCATGTAGCACGTTCATTTCATATTGTTATTATAGCCAGTAAACATAAAATTATTACAAAGTCACTGTAGCAATTATGGTGCCATATTAGATAAAATTACTCTTTGAACAAGGTCTTCCAGCTTTCCAATATCATGTCTTCATTTTATACCCCCATGGAGAGTGAAGGCAAGCTGTCCTTAGAGAAGAGGTTAAGCCACGTTCAAATGACAAAGAGAAGCAGTGGTAGTTTTTGCTTAAAGCACTCTGGAGTTTTATTCCTTCTAGAAACAATAGAGGAGGGAAGTGATGTTGAGAGATGGCAAGCCTTTAAGGAATTTCCTCCAGCAGAACATGATTTTTCAGTGTTGGCAAGAAACTATATTCAGCAAATAATGACACAAAATGGAAGATGATCATATTTCCTTAACAATGTAACCTACAGACAAGAGGTTTATTCCATCATTAAAATAGGTCCAACTTTAGGTGCTTACAGAATCTGTTTATAATCAAAGTAGTTAATGGATTTACTTGTAAACTTGAACAATACATGAACTATTTAAAGGATATGGGTAGCACTCATCTGAACTCACTGTAGCACTCTAAGACTTAGGCACTTGGATCAGCTAGGCATCTGGACTCCCTCATGGAGGAGAGAAAAAGCAGCTCAACAGCAGGGAGCTGATTTATTGAACTGAGTAGGGCTCTCCCTCTCAAGACGTGACCAGTGACCATATGCACACCTGCTTTTTAGCAACATTAGATGAATCCCATGCCTATTAAGAGTGGATTATGATGTTTCCAATCCCTTGACAGTAGTGTTGGCCACGAAATTTTCAGACCCAACCCCACCACCTTCGCTCATCCCTGCCACCTCCCTTTCCTTTGCACCAGCTCAACTACCAAAGAGCTACAAAATTATCTGGTTCTAAAGAAGCACTTTTTTCTTTTTATCAACCTGTTTTTCTATTGACTTCCTGTGATACTTTTTTTTACTTAATCTTCTCATTTTCACCAGTCCTTGACACATCAGCGTGGAATAGGCACAGCAGTGGAAGCAGAAGATCCTTGTGTGGGGGCAGAGGAAAGTGGGACAGGGTATATTGGATCCACTGATGAAGGATTGACAACATGGAGCTACACCTTAATTTTCAAGAGGACACTGCATTTTTGTGTTCATTTGCACAAAACCGAGGTTATATGCAGTACTCGACACTGCCTAGATTACAGAGCCACAGCACTGTCTTCACAGTGGGAGTAATTTAATCAGACTCCTTCTTCAGTGTCCCCTTATCCCTCCTCTTCAACTACTCTCTGCCTGAAAGGCGGAGCACAAAGATTCCTTGTCCAATTGGCCATCAGAGATGAGCTGCCACAGTACTCTGACATCCTGTGCACCATTCATGTCTTTCACCTGCTCTTTGTCACTTTTAAAGGCACACCATCCCTGGGCGTCTCCCACAATCCTTCATCAGATTTCCCCTAAAAGTCTAGGGGCCAGGATATCTACCTTCTTTAACATTTCTGCATTGTTGCCTTTCTCTATTGCATATTACTCAGCTTGGATTCATGCTGTCCACCAGGCCAGAGAAGCAGACCTTCCTCCACACCCCATCAGTCCCCTGTCTGGATCAGACAGCTCTCCTGCAGCTGTGTGTGGTCTTGTCCCAGAAAGTTTTATCCTAAAAATTTAGTAGAAGAGCAAAATACGTCCTTGATACCCCATTGTTAACTTCAGTAGAGTGACTCCAGGGATGAGCTGAGTAGACTGGAAGAAGAAAAATTTAAGCAAAATAGAAAATAAATAAATAATTTCTCTACAGATATCTAGACACACACATACACATATGGTGAGATTTTTACAACTTAATTTGCTTGTGAATGGCACTGAACTGATTCAGTGTGGTTGCTACAGTACAAGTGTCCCCTAAACAGTAACTCGGTGCACAGAGAATTACATTCATTCACGCATCAACATTTATGAGTTAAGATGCTTTTTTATTCCAAAGATTGTTGATTAGCCCCCTTTCAAACTCAGTATCCGCTGTCTGTGCCTTACATGAATCATGTTCGGCACAGGACATTGCTGACACTCTGTCACAAACAACCTAGGAATAAAAAGATCGGCATTTCAGTTTATTTTTCCTGCATCTTGTTAAAAAATGTACTAGGAATTTTGAAGAAACCTAATGCATAAATACATATTTTGTCTGATTCAATAACATATACAATTCAAATGACACTGCATTAGAAAATCAAGGGGCTGCTGTTATTCACCAACACATTAAGTACAAGCAAATTATTTCTTTACCTTGACATTATTCAGAGGGCCAAATCAGAAAATGATGCCATATCACTTAACTGCCTGCCTCATCTTCTCCCCAACAAGCAACCAGAAAGCTACTCACCACTCTAACACAAAATGCTATTTCTTTAATCTTATCAATCATCACCTCTTCTGAGCCGTGAGGACAATTGGTATTAGCAATCTCAGCCCTTCTCAGACAGTTGGAGGTTTGTGAATCTTAACTGATGTGCCTAATTAGATACAGCAGTGATTCAGCCTTCAGCTGCGGTTCTGTGGTGTTGCTTCCAGTGAGCATCAGTGTGCTTCGCATCACCCTGTGATGAGGTGTTTACTCTTCATCACAATCGCTGTTATCTGTCAGAAGTGATACCAGACTGGTTTCCAAAGGATACCACTCCTTCCTTTATTTCTATGGAAGTACTTTTACTGGAAGAAGCAAGCTATCTTTGACTGAATGTTATTCCAGTGAAAGACAATAGCCTGGAAATCTTGGTGTCTTCCAGCCCTGAACAGAAAAGTCAGCTGAGCTTTCCAGGGGTGTCACAGAGAAGTACTTTGGCACATCATTCAGCCTCCATGCTGGCTCACTCTGCTTAGTGACATGGAAAGTTCTGTCTCAGTGGTTGTAGGCTTGTGAATTCTTACCTGTCATGAATTGGATGATACCTTTTTTTTTTTTTTTTTTTTTATTAGGTGGAATGACTTTCAGTATGTAGCACTGTGAACTAGAGATGAACTGCTGTTCAGGAGGGGAAAGGTCTGTATGTCATTAACCTTGCCAACCTCTGTTGACATAATAGAGAACGTAAGCAAAGAAATATATCCCAAAGAATGAAAAAAAAGGTCAGTGTTTTCTTAGGCTTTATCCTTAGCAGATTAGAACAGCCAGAATATCTGTCTCAAAGCTTCAAAAGTGTGAAAGACATGGTAGATAACACATTGTATTTCCAGATTTAAAATTACAACAGTCCACAGCTTAAAATCTAGGTGCCTCATCTTCAGTTGGGCTAAAAAAGCATAGCTCTTCTGAAATTAGATGACGCCTACTTATATCAGCCAAGGATATTGCTCCTCAGTATCAAAGCATATTATCACTTCTACTTACTTGCCAATTGCTACATTTAGTGCTCTGTTTTCCATTGCAATAGTAGACCCTGAAGGGAGCTGGAAAATTCAACTCTTTATCAGTGATGTTTTCAGCTCTAATAGGAGATGTACAAGGCTCTGAACTCAGCTCTTTGTGAATAAAAAGGCTTTTAATTCATCTTTAAGGAAACAATTTGAGATCATCCAGAGCATATAAATTAACCTGCTTTTCCTTTTCCTCTAGCAAGGCTATGATATATCTCTTTTCTTTTTCTTCCAGATTGGCTTATATTTTCTCTCAGGTGCAACTGAAGTTCCCTAAGGCAATGAACTGAAAAAGAATCTGCAACATCTGGGCTTATCAGCACTTCTGCCAAATAAAACGAACATGTCGGAAGAGGGACATTTCTCAGAATAAAAAGGGAAGTGATGACTAATAAAGAAATGTAATTTACAAAAAATATCTAATTTAGCTTTTTCTTAAATATATCAGTCTTGTAAGTCTTCTTGACCACCTAAAAGTCCTGTTTGGGTCATTCAACAGTAAGATTTATCAAGAAAGAACACATATTTGGCAACTTTGTATGCTGTTTGGATATGAATGCAAGTTTACAGATCATTTGATAGTATCTTATAAAACCATAGACTTTGCATTTGAGTTAACTTCCATTAACTCCTTTTTACTCAATAGCGAGAAACTGGCAAAGTCGGATTCATCACACATTTAAACAACTCAGATGAACTGCACTCTAAAGGCAGCCAATGCTCTCCTTCGCCTGAAAAAGCAGCTCAGGACAACTAGCTCAGCCACATCTACAGATGTAGATGTCTAATGTTAAGAAATATGAGGGTCATCTCCCAAAACTGTCTTGCAGAGTCATCCCCCCTTGCATTCCTCCTTATCTTAGCTTCTCCTTCTAACTGTCACCCTTCGGGAAAGGAGGGGACAATCATCAATGGACAAGAGAGGCTTCTGTCTTCTTTTTAAAGAACTTTTCTTAGGGGTCCTCATTGAAGAGATGATATGAAAATAAGCATTTATGTGTTACTTAGGTATATTCAGCTTAACTTTCTTGTTCCTACTTTCAAGCCCTTACTCTTAGTCCTCCTTCCCATCCTGTTTCTTCTTGTCCCACCTTAAATCTCACTGTCTAGTAGCCCTCCTTACTCAAATCCCTCCAAAAAATCACTCCTACCCACTAGGCTACATCAATCCCAACCTAATGTGCTCACAGCTCTGCCAAACAGTTACTGGAACCAACCTAGTGTGTACCTTCCTTAAACAGCAGTTATGGGATCTTATCATGTACAAATTGTCTTGTCCAGAGTTTCACTTACAGGCTAACCATAAGTACCTGGGTGAGACACCTAGGGTAGGTGTGTAGTCACTCAAGTCAGTGAAGCAACAGTCCCCTCCAGAGGGGCTCTCAGATCCTATGCAGTTTTAAACACCCTATGAAGATACCCATTTCTTTCACTAGTTGAACAGAAGCAGGCCTGAGTGGCAATATTCCTTATTTTAGGTTATCCAAGAAGTGCTGAAAGATTGGTAGGGTGAACCTGAGCTTATATCTTTTCCTTTTATGGGAATACATCTTAACATTTCTTTTAGTTTCTTTTAATACTTGGAAATAATAAATATAAGAAACAACCAAGGCACAGAACTTTTAGTTGCCTCAGGGTACTCTCTGTTCTCTAAAGCTTATTCTCACCCTAAGTTTAGTGATTCTTCAGCTGCTATCGATGTTAAGGGGAGTGCTGCATCTGACAACACTTCTGATGGACCTCACTGATCAACAATTCAAAGAAAGAAAAAAATATAACAATGCAAGGAAAAGGGAAATAAAAACAGGCTGCATACCTTTACTAAAAGCCTCTAATATTCTCCCTCTACTACAAAGCCAAGGGATGTTGAAAATCTGGATACACTCTCTGGAACGCTATTTTCTTCTCTTCGTTGCTGATGATGAAGACAACAGGTCTTTCTTCTCTTGATCTTCAATACAAACAGGAAAGGGACTCAACACAGCATGAAACTGAGAGTAGTGCCTGAGATGGCCCTCTCCTGCTAACAGGGTGCTTTGGGGAAAGGTCATCCCCAAAGGCACAAGGGGTTCAGAGTGAAAGGTTGGCAGGTCTTGGGGACAAGCCAAGGTCACTCTTTGGCAGCACAACCCTGGGTGAGTAATGCAGAGCACATGTCAGGAGGTGCCCCATCCCATAGCAAATCTCTAGTCAGAAGGAAGACAAACTTGACAACTTTCCCCTTTGATTATTCGTCATTTGAGAAATGCATGAGGAAATCACATGAGCCATTCAGCCTTACTCGCATAAACTTAGAGAGGAATGTGGCTTGAGTTTTATAGCCTTTTCTTATCATTAGTATTTTTCCTTCAAATCTCTGCATTTTGTTGGGCTCACAGAACAACAGCAAGGGTTGTCCTGCAGCTAATTTGAGGCCTGCCAATTCCCCGTGACTGCAAACAAAATCTGCAGCTTACTGGATAAAGTGTCTTCTTTGTATTTCAAAAATAGTCAGCACAAATCCAATTAAAAATGTTTCTTTTGTTTCAAATATTTTATTGTTCTGAGCATTTCTGTGTAAGCAGGGAACCCTGGATTACAGTCCTCTCCAGGGGATCCTAAATGTTTATACAAATCACAGTAGGCAGCATTACAACACTTCCAACTTTTGCCACATGCACTTTGTCTAAACTCGAACTTGGTCAGAAATCTGTCACACTGCAAACTGCAAAACAGAGAAATGAAAGGAAACTGTCTTATTTTTATTCCTTTTGAGGATGTAATTCTATTAACAGTTCTGTATGTCTTTTCCCCATCAACTTAATTACAGATTAATTAATTCTTAGCAGTTTTCTAAAGTCCAGCAAAATATCATCTGACCCAAAACATTTTTCACAGCAGGGAAAAAAGCCAAGTTAGATAAAGAGAAAATCCATCCTTTGGAAAAAAACGGTGTTTAGAAGAACAGGCAAGGGTAGAAAAAGATCAGCTCTCCCTTTTCCACAGCAAACATATGTCGCTGCATGTCTCTCTCATTACATTTCACTTCTTTCCATTTCTGCACATCATGCCCCTAACTGAGCTTTACTACAGACTGGTGATGCTATATCCAAAGACTTCTCGTTTTATATTTTTTTGTGCTTGGGGATACTGACATCAAAGTGGTTGAGATACAGACACAGCCATGGTTTTGCTGTTGGTGTCGTTCCACAGCCATGGACCTCTTTTCAAACGGGCACACTAAGTCTGAACATGCTTGGAGCTGCAACCCTGATGATTTAGTTTGTCTCTGAGGCCAAGGCAACATGGTGAGAAATAAAGGGGTCAACATTAGAAATGCACAAGCTCTGGAAGAGCTTACATTTATTGTTGCCTGAGATAATTCCAGGAAGGGGTTGAGTTTGCACCCTCTTCTGTGAGCTTGTGTTTTGCTTCTGCCAGAGGGTTGTGACTGCCATCTGCTTACATTTATGTTTTTATAGAGCCTTTTATCACAGGGCTCCCAAAGCACTTTACACGCTTACACCTTGATTCTCTGTTGTAACAGGAGGTGAGTTTAAATTAAAATAATGTGCAGGTCGTAAGCTAGGAATTGGGCTTTAGAGCCTCCTTTTTCACCTCTCAAGTGGGGTTATTACAAAGTACGTACAAAAAGCCAGAGACAGGCATTTCAAGCCACAGTCTGAAAATCAAGATATTTTTGAGATTGGAGAAAACAGAAAGACTTAGAAAAAAGGAAGCTATGTTTTGCATGAGTAGATGATAAATCTCACAGTGTAGAGGCACATCTATGCCTTTGGTGATTGATGTGCTTGCCATGAAAAAAAGGAAGCACGGCTCAGGAAAGCACTCATCTCCTTGTCCTTAGATGCAGTTATGGGTGGATGACTACTGCATGTAACAGGGAAGCCCAAAGAAAGGAGAAGTCTCCCTTCTGCAAAGGAGCTGCCCCATTTCAGAGGGGGGAAGCTGATGTTCTAAGCTATTGCAGAAGGTCACAGTGGCAGGCCAGGAAAGGCATGAGATGTGACATGTCCCTTCTGTACACACAGCAGGGCATGAGTGACATTGCCATGATGACCTCACGGGGGACAGAGGTCAAAGCAGTGCGAGAAGCTGAATGCAGGAAGCGCGAGAGCGGAGGAGAGGAGTTTGTCTTTGGAAGTGCTTCCACGGAGTTAGCAAGTTAATTAGTTGCACAGCACGGGCCCAGCCACCATGCCATGAAGCTTTTTTTATTAAATCTGCTTATTTCTGGACCCTCTGTTGCTAGTTCTACTGCCACTGGCCAGGCCAATCAGAGAAAGCACATTGCTCCTCTGGGCACAGGTGGACACCCACACAGCCGACACTTGCAGCTGAGCCAGCCACCTTGGGCTCCTTTACTGGTTATGCAGAGAAAGGTTTTCCTTAGGGAAACACTTCCTCTCTTCCTGAGGAAAATAGGACAAATTATTTGCACCCAAGGAATGTTTGTTTCACTCCACTCTGAAGTCAGGAGAAAGGACATTTCTCACACACTTTACCCTGCAGAATAGTCCAGTGAATCTTCTCTAGCAGAGCAATTGCAAAAAAAAAAATTTCAACACATAGACTTAAAAATAGAAAATTAATTTAAAACCCTGTGAAAATTAGAACTGGTCACATACAACGGGGTCTTGAAGTCACATGCAGATGCTCACCACTAGAAAGCATAAGTAATCAGTTTACACCATGGCACACTAACTTGACTTCACAGATCAAAGCACCTGATCCAGAAGGAAAGACTGAGAAGCTAAAAAAGGAAGAGAGTAAGGTGAGAAGGCATGGAGTAAAGGACCAGGAGAGGCAGGGAGAGCAGTGGAAAAATAGCATCAGAGACTGAAGGAAAAAAGCAGAAGCTGCAACACTAGAGACCTGGTTCATTCATGACCCCTTCTCTTTCCTCTCTAAGTAAAATCTTTTCCCCATCCTCCCTTATCCTCACTTCTACTCTCCCATGGCTCACTTTGTGCACCCATCGCAGCTTAGCTCACTCTTTCACCTGCACAGACTCATCACCACCCACAGAAAAATCCTCCAAATATCAACCTGGGGTACATTCTGGAGCAAAGGGGGGGCCTGAAATAGCTCCTTCTGACACCCTGTTGTTGCAGATAAATAACTCGGCACTCACTGGAGCTGGGACTGGAGTCCAAGTCCTCTGGCAGTTTTATGAAACTCCAGCTATTCCTCGTCTCTGCTTTTCAAACAGTGCACAAAATGAAATGGCTTGTTCCGGGGCAAATGACACAATGGTGCTAAACTGCATGATTTGTTTGTTTGTTTCATCCCAGGAGGGGAGGAGGAGGAGGG